TTTTGTATCTTCGCCTGCCCCGATGCTACCCAAACCGATGCCACTCGTATACTGCGGTGAGTTACTTGGATTGGTATTTTGCTGGAGGTTATTAGCTATTAACGAAAAAAGTCAACCAGCAAGAAGTCTATCATACTTGATTTATCAACACCAATTACATCAATTATGCTAAGGATTATGCCTGGGTGCTAGATTTTTTAATCGTATATATTATTAAGAATACTCAGAACATACGATTTCAGGCAGGCATTCAGGGCGGCTTTTCGTTCCCTCTCCAGAAACAAATCCATCACATAAGATGCCATTCGTGGGGCATGTTCATACAGTCGGAAAAGTTTCACATAATTGCCCAGTGCCCAAGCTTCTCTAGTTTTCAGCGCAAATTCAATACACGGATCCTCTCGTGCTTTTTCATCCAACTCACTTAACAAAGTAGTTTGATCTGAAAAGAAACAACAATGAGTACTGAAACAATAAGAATTACTGCAGTAAGCAATGCACCAAGAATACCAAGATCGCCTCGGTTATCACAGTACGGGTATCCCATGACAGGTGCTGACGGCATGCTTCCCGCCCAAGTCTATTCCCTGACATCTTTACCCTGGTAACTTCGCATCCTTGGCAACTTCCACGTTAGTAACACCTAGCGCCTCTCTTCTCAAGTACGAAAAGCGCCAGAGAAAAGAGTAGGAGGGACAAAAACAAGCAAGCTAAAACAGTCTGCACATGGCTAAAGCAATATGACAAATCTAGTATTTTTCCTGGGTGGATTATGAAAGCAAAAGCAGAAAAGCGCTGTCATATCAAAAACACCCGGAATAACTATTTTAATTCATAGTCCAGTCCAGCATTTAAGCCAAGGCGAAGTTTCAAGCTGGTTTGATCAATTCTGCATCGCCAAGTAATTGACTTGCTTTCGAACGTCCCTTTTGTTTCTTGACGAGATTTCTAGCTTAGAAATTCTCCAGACTTGGCAAGGATTCTTTCCGAAATGTTCTTCATGTGTGTGTGTGTGTGTGCATGTGCGCGTGTGTGTGCGTGTTTGTGTTGTGTGTGTGTGTGTGCATGTGTGTGTGCGTGTGTGTGCGTGTGTGTGTGTGTGTGTGTGTGTGTGTGAGCATCATCGTAAAGACCACGATGAAGTTGAACCTTACCAATTAAAAGCATGTTAGCACAAGCAGAAGCGTGATTTTAACTCTCCCCAAGAACGCGATGACGTACCTTACCAATTAAAAGTACCCTACCAAAAACAGGTGCGATTTGAAAAAAAAAAATTACATGGAAAATCATACCAATGGTATTTGCAACAGAAATGTAATAGAGCAATCGGTAGGATGTAAATTCATAGCGATTCGGCGAATTCGGTATCTCTCTGTACAATAATTTGAGCTGACTTTGGCACTGATTGTATTCTTCACGATCGCCCTGCTCCAGTGCAATCCGAGCATTCGTCTCGTAAACTTTCACAGTGAAATCTGTCCTTATACACTGGATCTAAAGTAGACAATGAAATTACACTCACACGATGGTAAATAGCTCGAAATAAAACGTTACTAACATCATAATCGATATTATAAAAAAGTACCAGAACAAATTCCGTAGTCAATAGCAAGTGCTCAAACGTAACTGAGGAACAATGGCTAACGAGAGAGGACAAATCGATAGCACCTCGAAACTGCTAAAGCCTTTGTCAGGTCTTAAGCTGAATTGGTAATCCCTTCAGGAAACGAAATGACTAGTCAGCTAGCTGACTGTCAGGCAATGCAGCACTGGTCAAAGCAAGTGGAAAAGTTGCCAGCTACACAGACGGAAAAACCGATGGACCAACAACAGTTTCTAGTGTTTCAGGATATGCACAAACTATGTTGCTCATTATCAAATATTCGTAAAATTGTTTCGACAAATTATCTCTTTTAAAAACTTCAATCCTACTTAAAAAATGACAGTTTTTTTTTTTTTTTTTGATACTGGAGCCGTATTTTTTTTTTTTTACTTTAGTAACACTTAAATTTCGCCATTCCTACACACATGGTACAGACGACGCCTCTTCACTGATTGGTCTGAAAGATCAGCGAATCTCATAAGAAAATGTTTCTAAATTTACAGAAATCCAGAGAGACGATATATGCTACTTCCCCGTATTATTCTTAAATACTTCTATTGTTTGTGTGACACAATATGAATTTAACTTGCCATTAAATCTTGACGAATACTCCTCAGCTGATCGTTTGCGTAGGTATAATCGCG